ATATTAATATTTTATATTTTAAATATATTTTTTAATATGAAAAAGTGAGAAATTCCCCATATTTCTTAGTCTAAAATGTTTTATATCATAAATCTAATTTTTAAATTTATTTTTTAATAATTGCACTGTAATTTTTAAAATTAAATTAAATTTAAGTTTAAATATTTTGAACCGACTGACCAAACCAAAAATTCGACCCAAACCGATACAACTTGAGTCGATCATCGGTTTTAGCTAACCAACTCCCCAACCTGATTAAGTCAATTTGGTAGGCCAAATAGCCCCTAAACCGAACCAACTCATGAACACTCATAATTTCAGCTAAATTAATAGTCTCATCTTTGATAAATAAGAATAGTTTAATCTCCAATAGTTATTGAAAATTTATAGCAAAAATACACAATTATTGAAAATATATTGGTAATGAAAAAAATACAATAAGTACTAAAAATATATTAACTTAGTCAATAAATAGTATTATCTCAAATAATAGTTTAATCTCTAATAAAAATTAATCAATAAGTTATAGCAAAAATATAATAAATACAATAAGTACAATAAATTAAATTTAAAAATTTCAATAAAATCTCCAATAATTATTAAAAGTTTTCTATTAAATAGCAAAACAAAATCAATTTATACATAATCATTGAAAATAAATTAATCACAAAAAACAATAAATAATTACTGAAGTACAATAAATATTCATTTTAGTATATATAATTATATAATAAATATAGATTAAGAGTTCAAAATTATTATAAATAAATATTATTTTTTGAAAGTTATTTTCTCAAATTATTACTTGATATGAGTAAAATTAGTTATTTACAATATTATGTAAAAATATTAAATTATTATTAATTTCAATATCATGTTATAATTATTTTTCTAATTTTCAGGATTTTTTAAATTTATTACATAATTTCTTTATTTTAACTATTTAAAATCTAGTTATGTTAAATATTTTTTTATTTAAAATAATTATTTATTTAAATACTTAAATAATATGTAAAATATTTAAATTTTAAAATATGAATTATTTATTGAATTTAATTATCCATAAAATCATTATTTATACTATTTTTACATAATTTCTTTATTAATTTTGTAATATATTAAATTATTATTAATTTCAATCTTATGTTATAAATATTGTTCTACTTTGAAGAAATTTTTTAAATTCATTACATAATTTCATTATTTTAACTATTTAAAATCTAGTTATGATACATATTTAGTTATTTAAATATTTAAATAATCTCTAAAATATTTAAAATATTTTTTTGTTTGAATTTTATTTATTTAAGGCTATTACATATTTAAAAAATATTTAAATTGATAGTGCGAAAAAACATAATTTCGTGATATATTTTATAAAAATATAAAATTATTTTTTTTTGTGTTTTTAATAAATATTTTAAAGTTGTTATATAATTTTGTTAGAATATTTAGTTACTTCTTAATTTTTTTTTTAATATAAGCTTTCTTTAGATAGATATAGATAAAAAGTAGGGGAGATGATAAATAGGAATTAGAGATAATTTTGGAGATAAAATCTCTACTAAATTAGAAATAACTTTGGAGATAAATAGGAATTAGAGATAATTTTGGAGAAAATTGGGGATAGTGGGGTAGGTAGTTTAGGAGAAATTTTAGGAGAAGAGATTGTTTAGGTTATTGGGAAAGTGCATCTAATTGGTTGTTTTAAAAATTACATGGAATAAAAAAATAAAAAAAATCAAAAAAAGCAGAAAATTTCTTGACTGATTCATTTTAATATATAGATATAGATATCCCCATTCGTGGAATGGGGATATTTCAATTCTCCTACACCGCTTTCGATGATAAATATTTATGTAGGTGCTTGGTGCGTAACTTTCCCTTTTAATTTTTCCAATCTCTACTCAACTTCCCCAACCCATTGAGGTCATGGATAGAGATTGTTGTGGAGGATATGGGGGTTGGTAGTGATACCGCCAAGGATTAAGGTATTGGTATGATATGCCCAATACGAGGCGTATCATATTAGTATCAAAAGGCATCGATACAAGATACATATGACTATGTATTCGACTTGTTCATGGGATGGGCTCAAGCTTACCTTTGCCAAAAATTTGAATGAGGCCCGGCCCGAACCCCGAACCCAACATAGTGTAAGCTAGGTCCAAATCTTGGCTCATGAATAGGCTGGTCTACTATGTATCGACTCGATAAACCATTGTATCGGTGTTTATCATGTAATATCGACTGATATGGTCCGATACTCATCAATATGGAGGTATATCGAGGGTGTATCGAATAACACACTATAAAAATTAGAGGCTAACATGATTCAAACCTAAGACACCAACACTAAACAATTAATTGTGTCATTACCCACTAAGCCAACACTCATTTTATGATAATAAATGAAACACATTAACTTTTATTCAATTTAATGTCTACAACCAATTCAAATGAATAACATATATTATACTCAAACACCCCAACTATATATTAAAAGGAATAATATTTAAAAGTAATATTTTATAAACTAATAGAACAAATAATCTATCGAATCCACATTTATATCAAATAAATGATTTTTAATCTCAAGAAATTTATACAAATAAAAATAATAATAATAAAATCATTATTTTAGTACTTAAAATTTACAAATTTGAACATGATATGTATCTTAAAAATTTTATAAATTATTACTTCATATTTTAATTTGTATTAAATAACAATATATTTATTATTTACAAAAATAAAATATTATTGACAAATTATTTGAGAATATAATATAAATTGAATCTATCAAATACACCAATCTACATTTATATAAAATATTGATAATTTAAAGAAATAAAAATATTAATAATGAAATAATTATTTTACTAATTAAAAATTATATTTTAAGATTATATATTTTGTAAATTATTAATTGATATTTTAATATACATATTATAATAACATATTTATTGTTTACAAAAATAAAAATGTTAATTACCAAACATTTGGGAATTAAACTTTTAGTTGACCTTTTTTGTTAATTAAAAAAAGATAAATATAAAATAATTGATATAATAATTCAAATTATATAATACCCACTGACGAGATGAGATGGGAAGTGAATTTTCCACCTCGCTCCATTCGAATTGGGATCTACTCCTCACAGAGCACTCTACACCTACCTCACAGTCACATCCCACCATTTATTGAGAACATATCCCATGAATAATAAAATACAAGTATGGGAGATGTTCCCACTGTACAGCTAGGACATGATGTGAGGTTGGTGTAAGGAGCGTTCAGGAGCAGATCTAGACTCTCCCATTCCTATTTCCTACTTTGATGAAGTAAATGTATTTTTTAAAAATGATTTTAATTTAAAAATTTTGGGAATTCAGGTCCTTGACAAGAAACCCATCTCCATTGGGTATAAAGGATCAGAAGTTTCCTAATTCTCAAAGTGTTGTCAACTCTCAAGATATTTGTTGAAAGAAAGTTAAGAGAAAAGACTTGGGATTTTAGAAAAGCTGGTTAAAAATGTTGTAATCAAAAAGTTTAAGGGGTTTTGTTGCAAAGCAAGTTAGGGGGGCTAGGTGTTACTTTGGCCTCGTTCTCGTCTAAATCATTTACCTAGGTAAAGGCACTTATCCGAGCAAGTGTTTCATAAGAAATCTTTACCGAGATAAGTCACTTACCAATGTTCTTTTATTCCCAAGTCCCAAGGTAAAGTTATACAATGATCATTTTAAAGTGAAGGATAATATTATCCCATCACATATTAACAATTTATTGTATGGATTTGTTAGTGGTTTACCCAAATCTTAGGAGGGTACTACATACCCGGGTAAATGAGTTGCCCGAGAATATTCTATTTTACGGGATCCACTTATACCAAAATATGAACACAGATTTATTTCTTTTCCATGTGACCCATCAACTGACTTGCCCTCACTTCCCTAAAAAATGGAGGCCTTTGTACTTTGTCCTTCTAAATTAATGTTCACATCCTCTTGCTTATAGTTGATTATACCTTAAAGAATTATGGGATATGGAGTTAATTAGGGGTACTTTTATTAGGTGAATTTAATGAGTAGGAGTGATGGAAGATAATGGGACTTGATTGTGTGAGTTAATTGAGAAACAACTTTGAATTTGAATTTGAATTCAATATTAGGAGTATGACAGTTGGAATATGGAATCAGTAAGTCTATCTATTTCTCTCTCTCTCTATATATATATGTATGTATGTATGTATGTATGTATGTATGCATGTATGTATGTATGTATGTATGTATGTATGTATGTATGTATGTATGTATGTATGTTTTTTATCTAGAATACATTATGAGCTGTTCTAAATAGGGGCTACTGCTTGGTGCAATCGTAAAATCTCAGGCTGACAATCATGAGAACACAGGTTAGAGTTTGTAAACTGCCACTTTGTGATGGTAAAAGGCGAAGGGCTAGATCTGTATTATGTGTTCCAATTATAATGAGGTTTGGATCAGTTTTGGTTGTTCTGAGCTATTATTAACACCCATGAGATGTATGGGCTGGTGCTTAAGATGCCACTTTCCTAATAGAAAGGAAATTGAATAGGTTGATTTTGGGAAGTGAGAAAACTGACTGACAATTTGTATGTATGAAGGTGTATATACATTGTCAAATTACTGGTTAAAGACTTAAAAGTAGTATTTTTCATAGTTTTCAAAACCGGACTGGAAAAATCGAGAACAGGTCAGGTGATTGATTCCGTTTTACCCCAGTACCGTTATTCCCCCAAAACTGTTGATTTGGTCAATAAATTGCTGACTCGGGTGGTTGAACTGTTTGAACCGTTCAATGGTTTATCCGATTTTATTTTTATTAATTTTTTTGTCAGAATGGACCGTCCATTTGATTCGAACGATTGGACCGTTTGACCTAGAAACCAGACCCTGACCAATTTATTGTCCGATTTGATTTTAACAACCTTGGTATTTTCCACTATAATTGAGAGAGATTTCAGTGTACTGAATACAACATCATTGAAAATATGTCAAGGTTTGCATGCATGGATGTCTGTCTCTGAGTGTATGCATATCACATACATGGGTATACATACAAGTAGGTATAATCCTAGCCGGGCCAAAATTGCACTGAACCAGACGAAACCCATAATTAGGGTCTAGCCTTGCCTGGAAACCAGAATATATATCTTCACTGTGCCCCGGCCCTGAAATCCTTGGTACCGGGATCCGTCCGGTCCAACCATGGAAGGACTGGTCCACACGGGTTTGCCGGGGCCAAAAGTATCCACCCTTTACAAGGAGCAATCCCTGCAATCAGAGAGAAGTAAGAAACCATTTACTAAGTAATGCTAATTTAGAGTGAGTATGAATTAGAAAAGAGAAGGAAGTGTGTAGTTTGGTCAAGAAATTTACAAGGACATAAACAAAGGAGGAGAAGAGAACAGCTTCCAAAAGTTTTGCTAAGGCTAGCTTGATTGAGGCGGCCACAGCACCCAGTAGACCATCACTTAAAGCCAGAGCTGAGATATAGACGATTGATGAGTTACCATTAAATTGAAAGGAAATTTATGGTTTATTCCCCTTCATAAATTTTTATTGGTTTTTTAAATGTATTGTTCCAAATTCTTTTTTTCTTTGAATATAACCAGTGCAATCTTAAGGTAGAAGACAATGAAAAGTGTCTTCTTTTGAAAGGTAGTCTTGACATTTTCAATAGATAATTGACGGTCGGTTAACAGCAGGGGCCAACTTGACACTTTTTGAAAGTTTAGGTACTGTAGTGACACGTTTGAAAGTTCGGGTACTAACTTGACACTACCCCAAAGGTCGGGGTACTAAAGTGGAATTTTCCCATTATATTACATAATATAAAATAGTTCTAGGTAGATTTCAAAAAAATAAAAAAAATAAATTTATAAGTATACAAGTAAGAATGATCGGGGCAGGGCGGGGCAAAGTCAGGAATCCTCATTCCCCGTGGGGATGGGGATGGGATTAAGATTTTTAGCCCCATTGGGATTTGGGGTAGGGACGAGGTAGGGAATTTCAATTCAGGGTTGGGTACGAGTAGACCTGTTCATGGGCCGGGTGGCCTGACGGGCCGACCCGGCCCGGCCCGACCCCCGGATGGGCTTGAACATTCTTATAGGCCCGCGGGTTTAAATTCGGGCCAAAAAGCCCGACCCACAATAAATTCGAGTCGGGCTCGGGTTTTGTCAAAATAGCCTAGCCCGACCTAATATTAAACTTAAAATTAGCTATGTGATTATGTCAATTTGAATAAATTTTTTGTTTTAAAAATGTAAAATTATGTTTTAAAATATAAAAGAAAGGGAAAAATACCATCTTGTAGGCCCATTGTTCATTTAAATAAAAAAAAAATACTATCTGAATTTTTAATTCTAATTTGAATAGGGAAAATTGTTTTTTTTTTTTCAATTAGGCCAGGCTTCAGGCTCGGGCTCGGGTTTCGGGCTTTTTACCAAGGCCGGGCTCGGGCCCAAGTTATAGGCCCGTTGGTCGGGCCAGGCTCAGGCTCAGACCTAGTATATTTTCATTAGTGACAAGTGAAAGCCTGGCCCGGCCCGACCCATGAACAAGTCTAAGTACGAGGCAGGCAAAACCCGACCCCACCCCGCCCATTGCCATTCCTAGTTGAGGTGGAAAGTAATTTTATGGGGGTTACTTGATATGCGCATAAAACACACAAACAAAGTTCACGAAACCAAACACATACATAGACATGGCGGGACCCATAAACCAAGAGTTGTATACATTACTTTTTACTTCTTGCTGAGTTGAAGCAAAAGAGGAAGGGTGTAGTAAACAACGACTTTATGCAACTCTTGGGTTCTTCGCACTACAGACAAGATGGGTCGGCCGAGAAAACAAGAATTGCATCTTGGATACATGGATCAGCATTCCTGGGTTCTGGAAAGAATTAAAAAGAAGGGAATAGAGGCTGATACCTAGGACGAAGGATGCAACTCTGTAGCCCCTGAAGAAAAGGCGGACCCTGAGCGTCACCGGAAGATCTGGACTTGTCTCCCTCCTCGCCATTAATGTTGTTTGGGCCGGTGTCAAGAAAAGAAGACGGAAGGCTGAGCGCCTGAGCGGGGTGTCCGACAGTCTGAGACTCTGAGCGGCTGAGCGCGTTCCGTCGGTTGAAGGTGAGGAAGTAAGAGATGGAGGAGAGATAAATAGAGAGAGAGAGAGTGTGTGTGTGGAGTGCGGACAGTGGGCGTTAACTGGTTTGAGACAAAGAAACAAGTGACGGCATCAAGAAGCGTAAGAGCAGAAGACACGCAGCAGATTCCCGACCGATCCATCTCCATTCTCCAGCTCTGCAAGAGATGGAACCGGGTCTTCCGTTCGGGAGTTGAGTTAGCGTAGGAGAACGAGTCAACGACGGTTGAAGCAGTCTCTGTTTATCGCAGTATGAAACGTGTTAGTGTAAACCAGGTTGACCTCATCATCTCTGAGTAAACAACCAGAAAGAAAACCGCCACTGTTATGTCAAACTTAACAATCGTTGTCCTGTTTCAATCATGCTAGTTGTAAAACTGAACAAGTGACCAGTCAACTGGAGCTTGGCCAAGTTGAGTTGACTCTGTTTGTACATTGTCCGAGTTTTAAAATTTGGCCATTTTGTCCAAATTAATTTAGTACTCGCTCATGATAGAGTAAAGAAATTTGATAAAGTTGTGCTTTATTATGGCTTTCCACCAGGTCCAGATTGAGGGTTCGTTTGGTTTGTAATGGGAATCGAAATAATCAGAATCGGAATGGTCCATTCTTATATTATGTTTGTATGGGTTTTTCTGCATTTCCCTTCCATTCTTTACTTTTTCCTTCAAACCAAACATAACTTAAGGGAGGGGCAGGGAATGGCCATTCCTCAAATGGGAAAATGCCATTTCAGAAGGAATGCGAATGAGATTCTGATTCCGTCCAATCAAACGGTTGGAATCGGAATAGCCTATTCTAGTTCTGATTTCAGACCCCTATTCCTATGAACCAAACAGGGCCTGAGCTTTTCTTTATTTCTTTCTACTTTGGAGTTTGTTTGCAAGAAAAATGGAAGAATGATATATGACACCCATTGAACTAATTACTTAAAGTACCCTTGAACTAACTAACAAATACTTAAAGACCCCTAAAATACAAAAAACTACTTGAAGTACCCACAAAGTTTTGGAAATTTGAGTTTAGTCAGTCTTCTTGTTAAATTAGTCAAAAGATCTTTTTGCCCTTAACTATTCTTCAACTTTTCAAAATTGCCTTTTTCAGCCTATTACCCTTCCTCTACTTGAACAACAAACCTTTGTGGTTGATTCATATATACTTTCTCAAGAAGATCACTATGTAAAAAGACATTTTTGATGTTAAGCTAAAACATTGACTAATTATGCATAGCTGTTAGAGAAATCAATACAAGCACAAAACCAATTTTTTGCAACAAGAGAAAAGGTTTATATATGTATCCACACCAATTTGAGTACCCTTTAGCAACTAAAATTGCTTTAAGACATTTTACTTTGCTATCTGGCAAGTAATTGACTGTATACACCCATTGACACTCCACAACATACTTTTAGGAGGAAAAGTGATAAATTCCCACATGTGATTATATTCTAGTTCAGAAAGATTCTCCTCAATAACTAAACACCACCTTAGAGATACAAGTGCTTCACAGTTTGAAGAACAGACAGAAAACGAAAGGGAAACAAACTAGCGCGGAACAAACAGAGAAGACATAAAAAAATGAAAGATGAGAAACTAAAATATGATTAGATATGAGATGAAGGGTATAAGTATTACTTTTACATACAACCATGGGATGGTCCAAATGGGATGTGGAACTTTAGAGTGGAAGCAACAACAAAATCCATCAACAAATATGTAATTTGTGGAGGAGTTAGTGTTTGCTTAAGTGTATACACTTGTGTGATCAGTTGCCTTTTAGTAGTAGTATTCACTTGTATGACTAAAAGATTGTTGATATCAGAAATAAGATCATCAATGGGAATGTGAAGAGGAAACACAGGATGAGAAGAAGACATATCATAACTAGTGAAGTAGGGATTAGATTCAAAGAACGTGACATCAAGACATACAAAGAATTGATGAGAAAAATGGTTATAACACATACCCTTTCTAAGTTGTAGAGTAGCTAAGAAAGATGCAAACTTAGTATATCATGCATCTAATTTGTTTCAACCAAGACCCTAATTATGAATAAAACATATGTAACCAAATATCCTTGGAGTCAAAGGAAAATGGGATAGAGTAGGAAACTTGAAGGAAAAGGG